ATTTACAAATTGAAATGGTTGACAAAGACAAAACCATGTCGATGCTTTCGGATATGCTTTGGTTGTATCCAGATCCAATGCACATGCCCATACCTTAATTGAACCGACTCTCCAATGCCGTGTGCCTCCATCCATTGCATGGTGTTCCGACCACCCAGTCCTACAGCAACCTAAACATTCCCAAGTATCAAAAATGCCTTTCAGATCATCTGACCCGCACCTTTCGTCCCCCCCACTCCTCCCTTCGCCTCTGCTTCGCCCTTCCCTCCCCCACCCTTTTCACCCTTAAGCTTCTCCCTCTGCCTCGAGAACTTCTCACCGTACTCGTCGGTCTTTTTGAACAGCTCCACAGCCTCCCACGCACTCGGTCGTCCCAAATCTACATCCGCCCCTGCTTCGAGCAGTATATCCATAATCTCTTGTTCGTTCTTGAACACAGCGCCAGCGAGCGGGGATTGACCGCGATCGTTCAATCGGTTTGGATCAGCGCCGTGAGAAAGAAGAAGACGGGAAAGTGGAGCGTGACCGTGATAGGTCGAGAGCATGAGCTGTTGAGACATATGAGAAAGGTTCCTGTGCTAGGGTTCTTGGTGGGGGACGGTGGCATTTGGTAGGGTTGAACGTGGAATAGGCGAGGAGCCGGGGCAATTCGTTAGAGATCTCGAGGAAAGAGCGTACCAGACTGTCGCCCTTATCGTTGGTCATATTTGGCGGCAGGCCTGCTGGCAGTGCTTGCTCGAAGATTGGCATGTCACCTTGTCTTGCTGCATCGTACATTCGAGTCGCAAAAGCAATGATTTCAGGGGACTCGGGGGTTGGTTGGATCGCTTGGTCACCCATGGCTTCAATTGAACAGTCTCCCGTGACAAGGAGGATGATACTCAAGGCGGTTTTTAATATTGGGCCACTAAGCTACTTTCGTTCAGGTGTGCGACGCTATCCAGAAAAGGATAAGTGGCCCAATATTAAAAACCGGCTTGAGTATGCAGGTGGAGAATAGAATGAGTGAAGCCTCGCCCGCCTCGGAAGCAGCAGCAGTTGCGCAATTGGATACTCGTATCTACCCTCATTTGCACGCCCTTAAATCCGATAAATCCGACATACTCGTATTCACTAGGATTTGCAATCTACTAGGATTTGCAATCTTTAAAATCTGATTCTTATAATTTATTATTTCACAACAATATAATTTAAAACTAGGAAAAAAAATTAAAAGAATATAACTATTATAACTATTATAATTTTAATTTTTTTTACAATTAAGCTTAAATCAATAAAGTTATATAGTAATATATTAAGATATAGTTATCGAAGTTTATTACGCTATTATATAAATTAACCATTGTTACCTCGATTTTAAAAATTCTTAAAAATATCAAAATCGCAATTCATATTCTTTTAGAATTTTTTTTCGAGTTTTTTATTATAATGTTGTGGAATCATAATTTATAAAGATTAAGTTTTAGAGATTGCAAATCCTAGTGAATACGAGTAGATAGCTACCACTACCATAGTCAACACTACCACTCATTCAAATTGCTTACTACCATGTTCTATCATAAAAGCCAATACTACGGATTTGAGCTTGTTCAGCAGCGATTAGACAACTTGGCTGCTAAGCAATTCGAGAAGCAATTTCGAAGCATATGTCACCTCGAACCATCTATTTTTGAAGACACAAAGAGAGGTAGGAGTCCAGTCAAGAAAAAGGCTACTGCACCTCCCACAACTACACCTCCCACATCAGGCCCACTGACACCACTAAGCCTCGCTCCACCATAGCAAAAACAGCGACATGGAGGAGAAGCTGCTCCGCCACAGTGGCGGGTTCCACCGGAGTCTTTACCACAGCAATAACAGTAAAGGTGGAAGAGGTGGAAGAGATGAAAGAGGTAAGAAAATAGTAGAAGAAGCAATGGTTGAAGAAGAGATAGTTGAAGAACAGATAGGGACGATCTATGCAAGACATGGTAGACCGATAGGGTCCAAAAAACGGTGGTTTGGATTCTCCGATATAGAAGCCTTGATAGTAATACAAGATAAACCATCATTATTGTGCTAGTTTGCCAACCAAATTTGGTGAAAGGTAGGCATTTTGCTGTTGCGTCGGACTTATCGGACTTTAGAGCGTGCAAATAGGGGTAAGGTAGATACGAGTACGAGTACCCGGGCGGATATTCGGCTTAGGGCTTTGCGAGGATTCGTCATTGAATCAAGGCTCACCATGTGAATTCCGAGTGTCACAACATTCAGACTTAAAGAAACGAAGCTCATGACAGAGTCCACTGTTAGAACAAATGGTCATTGATGGAGGACTCTCTTGTGCGTTGACGACTTTACGAAGCTCATGACTTGCTTCAACCAACCCTTCGATCACAACTCGGCTACCAGGGCTATGTCACGTCGTCTTCGCGTCTGCAAGACTGTGTTACGAGATCCTCAGTCCTTCTTCTCTCTGTCAAATTGGCAACCCTAATCGTCTCACTCACATGTCCAACACCAACGAGACTCCAGTCCCAATCAAAGACCTCGACTTCAACATCATAATCCTCTCCGCCAATGACTAGTACGTTAAGCAAGCCCTGCATCGTGGATCTCAGGATTCTGTATGTCAAGTGCTGGTTTTGGACTGATCGCATTCGGACATTGCCGCCGTACGGTCCGTTGCAGCTGTATGGATCGAGATCTGGAGGGAGCCGAGAATCTCCGTCTTGAGTGATAACGAACGTGCAGAAACTGCGAACGCTTTCGAGAACGCCTTGTAAAATCACGGAATCCAAGGGCCTGCCAAAAAAAATCTTCAGGCGCGTCTGCGTGTTGGGCACGATATAGCTCATTTGCCGTCGGCGATTAGGAATGCTGGGGTCTAGAGGTTGAGGACGCAATAATGGAAAGCCTCTATTCAAGCTTTTTCAGTGTTCTTCAACTTCGAAACATGTCCAATGATCAAATTGCTCACGTTTCCGTCCGTTGCAAATCGTCAGCCACTGTTAAATTAGACTTTGCGTCAAGTGGGATTGAGAAGGCAAGTCGGTGAATCAAAGCTTGATACAAGGAAAGCAAACACCATGTCTTGATGCAATGCATAACGGAAAGGCATACGCGATGCAATGCGAGAACACCTGTCAGCAGACCCTGCTTTTCACCTTTCCGTGGGATCATAGAGAGAGGGAAAAGGCGAAATGAACCCCACGGATATATGACCATTCTGCGCGACAAATTGACGCTTCCACTACAGCTGATGCATGATGAATTGCGGGGATGCGGACGAGAGAATGTTTATCATTGTGTCACGCGACAAGCGCACTAGAGAACGGAAGCATAAAGCGAGCAGAGCCAGAGAACTCCCTGCCGAGAGTGACACTGAGAAATAAAAGAAATATAGGCGTCTTCTGACCAGGGTTCCTGTGGAAGTTTACCTTTCTGCACGGCTTGCTGTCAACGATCACAATCCAAGAAGGTCAATTCCGTGCACGTCAAATGACTCATGTCCTTCATGCATTCAAAGTAGTCAAAGATTTTAGATCCACATCGATGTACCTTTTACATTACCATCAGTGGTGTCGTCAGTACTGAAACTCAAGCAATGAATGTGTCAGTCTAACCATGCACACACCGATAAAAGGTAGTCGAATTGTTTGAGCCTAGGCTGACGGGTCGCCAATTTCAACATCTTTGACATCACCCTGTTTCTGCCCGAGTATCACAACGAAGACAATTCACGTTCTCGATAGATGACTCGATTTGATCTTCGCTGTTTCTAGAGCAGAAAGGTGTGGCTAATAAGGCGCAGGCCTCCAACGGTCTTGATATTCCATCTAGCGACTGATCAGACAGCACAAGAACGGTCTCGCCATTGGAAGGCTCACGGATGTGGCCATAAAGGGCCCCGGTTGTTAGTGAAACGGGCCGAGTCATCCTCACCCTTGACCCCCCAAGGCTATTATCCGTGGGGCCTTCATTCACCTTGAAGAGTGTGTGGTACTAGTACGATTGGGTCTGGAGTTTCTTTTGGCTATGCCTCTGCAGTCGCTCGCTGAGGGCGCTGAATCCCAAATGTTGTTCCCCATGTTGAACGTGGCTGCGATTCCAGGATGATGGTACGCTCTGGGCTGAAAGAGAGAGTGGAAGTATAACAGAGACGGGGGCGAAGGAAGGGGAAGGGGCGTGGGCGGCCTTTCTTATCCTTCATCCAACACCTTGTTTTGACGAACCGCTCGGGCAGCCTTCCAGGAAATTCGAAGAGCCCAGGACGCCCTCGAAACCTCCCATAGGCTCGATGGAGAATGCTGCCTGTGTAGTGAAGTCATTTCATCCATCATGAGAGTAAGCCTGACAAGCGAATACAGCCCAGTGGAGCAACACCAAGACACGTATCCGTTCACGCCCATGTGACATCTGTGGTATGTCTTGTCGGCATAGTTCATAGCAGTTTGGGAATTCCGTCTCATCATGAACATGTGCAACGCGACCTAGTTGAAGAGAGCTCTCTTCCAACAAGATTCATTTTCTAAACTTCGCTTGCTTTTGGTTGTACCGCCAAAAATCCGTTTGGTACCTCCGCATGATTGTTTTCCCTTGTTCGGAGGGCCACTTCCAGTCCTCCTGCTTTGTATGCTTTCTAGGCTCACAAGCTTACGAGGTGAGGGTGACATTAGAGATAATTGCACTCGCGTTACCCAGATTCAACGAACGATGCGACCACCGCTGCTTCATTACACTGTCTTTAGGCAGCATAAGAAGGACTCCAGCATCTGAAACTTGCGTCCAAGCTGGCGACTTCCTCCGTTGCACACAGAACGAATACAGCTGCAGTAGCTGCTCCATTAGGTCGGGCCAGTTAGCATCGAGCGATGCTGGAGCTTGGCTCGTCGGCTCAAAACCTCCACCTAACGTATGATCAGTTCGTATCCCATCGTTTTTCGAGGCGTGTCTCTTACCATAGGGCAGAACGTCATCCCCCAAGTCCTTTGCCATTCTGAAAACAACGACACAATTCCCTACACACCGTCACGCTCGTTGCTAGACGGACGTGGTTTTCCAAAAGATATCATAGAACTCACCGTACTCTGATCCTTGGGGGACTTCCCATGACGGGCCGGGTGGAGCATCTGAGATGAATTTGGCTGACTATAAATTTGTTAGTATACTATGATTTCACATAGTCAGTCTACGACACTTGCCCAGAATGTCCATTGAGTATAGCCATACGGCAACGTTCGATCCCAGAGCCGTCCAATTGCGTCAGCACAATGCTTCGCATCGATCGCACCAGCCCAATCCGGATTTTGGGCGACCCTTACGCAGATTGGGGAATTTCGGGCATTCAGAGTCGGAGACGGTGGTGAACTCTGGTCTTGGAAAGTAGTGTACGATGGTGAGGGAGCAGTCGCAGCGCACAGGCATTGAACAACCGTCCACAACAGCAAAAAAATGAATGATGACATGTTGATGAGTGAAAGATTTTTCTGCGACACTTTTACCGAAATTTGGGCGAAGAAGCTGAGACTGCTTCAACAAGAAGCCGTCGGGAATTATGTAGGGATGCGTGCACATTATTTGGAGGGTTGGGTGCTTTGACTGTGTTCGGTTGTTGAGGCAGAATGGGATAAGACGAGTCGCATATCAGGTTTGGAAGCGCAGGGTCCTCAAGAAGTTGCATGCACATTTGCACCGAATGAAAATAAATCGATCCAGCGGATAATTCTGTCTCTTCGCAGAAATCGATCATCTTATCCATTCGAATGGACAGTAGCAAACGGGCGAAAGACGATGATATCAAAATTATGAGCGGCGTCATAGTCTCTCGTATGCTGCCCTCAAATATGGGTATGTAGAGTACAATGAATGACTGACTGACTGACTGACTGACAGTGAGGTTTGGTGATTGGTCAAATTCTCCCAAGTATTGATGACGCTACTGGATCCCCCCCCCCTCCCGCACAATTGCGGGCTGGTGCGGGACCCGAGAATCGGACATCTCGGCAGCCTGCTTGCTTCTATATCTGATACTTTATTTATGTACTCGTAGCAAATGATGTAATTCTTTCATACGCAATACTTCACCCGCCCTATAGTTTGTCCTCTCTGTATATTCATAAATATATACTTATTCTAGTTCCCCATATTAAAGCTTCTTTGAACAAACAGCACACTGCAATTCGGACACAATCATCATGCCTCGCGTATTCCTCATTACCGGAACATCAACCGGCTTCGGTGCCAATTTGGTTCAAGAGGTGCTTGATAGAGGAGACTTCGCCGTTGCTACAGCCCGCAAGCCCGACTCTCTCTCCTTCAAAGGCACCTCCTTTCACAACTACCTTGCCGTCAAGCTCGATGTTACAGATCCCTCAAATATACAGTCTGCTTTCGCCGCCGCTCTTGATAAGTTCGGACGAATTGATGTCGTTGTCAACAACGCCGGTTACGGCCTGGCAGGGCCTTTCGAAGAGCTATCAGATACTCAGATCAAGACCCAGATGGATGTCAACTTCTTTGGCTTGATTGCCGTGACGCGAAAGGCCATGGAGGTTATGAGAGATCAGAAGCCGAGCGGAGGTTTGATTCAGCAGGTAACTTCAATTGGTGGTCAAAGAGGGTATGCGATATCGTCGAACAGAGACGGTGTATTTGCGATTAACGTGCAATAGAGTTCCCAACTTCTCCATTTACTGTGCAAGTAAGTGGGCTGTAGAGGGTTTCACGGAAGCTATTTCGCAAGAAGTCAAGCCCGATGTAAGCACCCTTTCTGAGCGATCTCTCTTCGCAAAATCCTTTTTCCCCCAAGTATACTTTTCACTGCGGCACAAAGGTTATCAAACCAAAGCTGACGCTGATGTTGTGTAGTGGGGAATCAAATTTACCTGGTATGGTGCACTAAGGTTGATCTAATTGAGTCCCGCTGATCATCCTTAGCATTGAGCCTGGAGGATTCCGTACAGACTGGGCTGGACGGTCCATGGCGTTCCCCGAGAAGAGGCATCCTGCCTACGACCACATTGACGTGCAAAAGGCTATGGGTGCAAGGCACGGGACACAAGCCGGAGATCCTATTAAAGGGGCGAAGGCCATGTATGAGCTTGCAGTTATGAAGGATCCACCGCTGCGAGTCGTCGTTGGTACTGATGCCTACAAAGCGATTATGGGGAAGATCGATTCGTATGGAGAGAACTATAAGAAGTATGAGAAGATATCAAATAGCACAGATGTGGAGGGCTACAAGGCTCCGTAAGCCGTCTCAATGACCCCCTGACCGAAGAAAAGAGGACGTGATAGAATGCTTCAGAGGAAAACTGTACGCAGATATGTGGATATGTGTAAAAACTAGCAGCGACTGGTGGCTAATGCCTTCGCATTTGAGAAACAAAATGCTAAAGCGATGACGCTCATGGGGTGACGAGTGTTTGCGCCAGCATGATCACGTTTGAGACGCACACCCGCCAGCACATAGCCAGCTCCCCCCAAAAAAGTGCCTGTTAATGCACGTGGTTTCCACTCAATCAAGTAAACAATGTGCCGAATGAATTAGTAGCTTCCCTCATCCGGCTCTGCCGTGCAAGTCCTGTCTCTGGCGCCTCTCTTATCGTGCCTCTGCCCACCAAACCCAACGCTCCATGGCAAATATCAAACTCAGACTCCACGTATCGGCCCTCGATCACCAAGAATTCCCATAAGCCATCCATAGCACCTTTCAGAATGCCCCAGGTAAGACGGTAGTCCGGCCGAGAAGGAACCACGTTAATTGCAGCCCCGTAGCCCAGGTCCTCGTGGAAAGGGTCTTCACTCTTGGGAAGCGGCCCGTCGCCCCCTTGTTCAAGCTTCTGCTCGCAGTAAATGCGAGCGCTGTTGATAGTGTTATGCACCCCCGCTTCCTTGCAAGGGAAGCCCAAGTGGAAGTAGAGTGTTGTTATAGTGTTGGGAACGTGATATTCTATGCCTGAGTCTTCCACTAGATTAGTGATGTTGAGTGGTTGAACGGTGATGGGCGATGAAACATGAGGGAGGATGTTGAGATGACTGCTGGTGAGATTGCTAGTAGGTAAGTATGGAGCGGATAGGACGGTTGGGACGAGAGTGTACTGAACCAGGACCAAAAAGCACAAGAACTGAAAGCCAGCCATGCTAGGATCAACGAGACCAAAACAACACGTTGGGAATGGCATAGGCTGTAAAGGTAATAAATGCAGAACGCGAGTAAATGTTTGGCGTCAGAAACTTACAGCCAAGGAACAAGAGCCCATCTGCGGTTCTCATGCAAGGCGACAAGCGACTTGTTACACATTTTCGGTAGCCATACATTTTCGTTACAGACTTGTTACACATTTTCGGTAGCCATACATTTTCCCTAAGCTATGTAGTAGGCGCGAAGCGATTGGCGACCTTTTGCCAAGTGAGATGGCTACAAACGGGACGCTCATTTTTGACTAGCCATATATGTATACTGCTGTACTCTGCCTAAGGCGATGATTAGCTAGGGCGCTAAACAAAATAAGGTTCACGAGTGTATGGAAGATGCGAAATTCAACAGATGATGGCCGAAGACATTGAGAAGTCGTGGTCGTTGCAAGGCGATTTTGACTTGATATTTTGAGAAACGTAGCGGACCGGTCGACGAGATGACTTCAGTTGAAAATGATACATCGATTTTACTATAATTCGTAGAAATAAATGAAATCACGACTAGGAAAAGCATACTCTGTCGTACCTCCCCTGAGGCTATGAATCAGAAAACTCACTTGCCATGCCATTTCCAGCCCTTTGCCGCGTACAATTTGACGTCATACCTCAACTTCTGCTCCGGGTTTTGTAGTACATCAGCTGCGTGGCCTACCATGGCGGCTGCCGCATCGATTTTGACACGTTCAGAGTCAGACATCCCCTCTTTCTTCAATTTGTCTGGATGGACTTCGACACGTCTGCGCTTGGCAGCGCTCTTGATCTCCTTATCCGTAGCGTGAGGGCCGATTTTTAAAGTAGCGTAATGATCTGGTAAATCTTCTTTGGCCTTTACACGTGGCACCTCCTGATGATATCTCTCCTCGTGATCCCCATGAGATGCTTCGTTCCTCTTGGTTCTGAAGCTTTGTCCCCGGCGACTTTCGCTTCTACTGCTGTGGGGACTTTCTTCACGGCGACTGCTGCCGCTCTCTGGATTTCCCTGACTGCGATCATCGTTCGTTGCATATTTGCGATTGCTGTGGCTTTTTGATCTGCTGGGACGACCGTCTGTATATCTTGGCTTAGGCTCCTTTGGCTGCGAGTGTTTTGCATGTGCGTTGCTGGGATGCCTTCGCCGCTCTTCAGCTGAGGGTTGCCATGTTGGATCTCTATGACCTTCGTCAGAGGAATACCGTTCGTCTTTATCATCTGGGTCTGACGAAGAACAAGAAGGAGCGTGCCGCCTCTGTCGGTAGCCGGATGTAGACCGATGACTGTCATAAGCAGTGGACTCCCTACGACGATGATGAGAAGTCGCGGACTCACCGCTGCTGGTGTGGATTCGATACTCCGTCACTGTAACTTTGCGACTCGCCATGGAAATGTTGCGAGGATCGTGATAATCAGAGCTGACATAAGAATGATGGCTTCTGAGACCTTCATGGAGAACATGCGATCTGTAGCTCTGATGAGATGAGAGGGCATGTTGGGGCAGAGGATGAGAGTAGTCCTCATAGTCTTCATAGGTTGCGTGACCGGAGTCGCTGGTATGTGGGTACGCCCTCCTCGAAGACTGATGTCTTGATGAATAAGACATCTTAGATAGACAGCCAGAAAAGATTCAGTTGACTTAGTGGGGAAGGTTGGCAGCGTCGTTCAATCAGTGAACGCTGTGTACTCCTTGAAGAATGGTTAAACGGTTGGTTCGGAAGATAAGATCGGAATTGATCTTTTGGATTTGTTTGGAAAGTTTTTGAAGCAGACGTAGCCATCTTATGGGCCTCTGTTCAGACCCTTAGATCCAAAATGCTGGTCAACAATGGGCTGCATTTCAGATCTCATTGTCTTCAACACAAATGCTTCTTGTTGTGCGGAAAGAGCGAGGAACAAGACCATTGACGGACCATGAACAAATCCACAATATCCGTAACACATTCATTGTCCACAGGTTGAAGCCTGCATGGTAACAAAGGATCAGGGACATTACCGTTGTTGCGGGACAATAGAAGAACGCAGACATGCAAAATCGCGCTAGACAAAGACCGGGGCATCGAGCCTACTATATCGGTTCGTACCTAGTAAAAGGGAAAAATGGGCCAAGTCTCTGGAGATGGAGAAAAGGCCAAGTCTCAAGTTCCCTTGATCGAAGTTGTGAGACCTTGGCCTGGGCCTCGGCCGAAGCTGTGTATACTCCCCTCCCTTAGATGTAGAGCCGGGAACTCATGATTCACCGAGACAGCAACGCGTTCGTAACGACTGTGCGTTGTCTGTGTAGACTTTGCTCTTAGCTCACGAGAAATTACATGGCTGGCCACTAGACCATTCCTGAAGGCTGGTTGCTCGTCTTCCTGGGCCCCTTTTAAGCGGAATTAGGTTTCAACAGCGTATTTGGCATTTTTTCATCTCTTTGTCGGGATGAATTTTTCCCAAGAGAAGACCAAAGGCAATTCGGCTCGACAGGGCAGTGACAGACACCACGACTAACGTCAATCCCACAGAGCTGGGGCGCGATAGACATTGCAATGTGTGGACGACGTATGCCCCTGGCAATAATCTATCCAGATTTGGGCATCGAATTGATGCGGAGGATGTCCACTTGCCCTTTGATCGTTGCACACGTGTGCTTGATATGATAAGATATTTTTCCATGAACTGCCTCGTGCAGCTACCTCCAGTCCCTAGAATTCAAGGCCTGCTTCCTTGCCAATTCTTCTGCTTCTTTCTTCCAGTGTTCTGGTATGAGGCCTCATAAGCTTTTGCACATAGGCGAACGGTAACCCAGCCCCGTCCACTGCGTCCTGGATTCCCATGTTCATGCGGTGGATGTACGCTTTCCGAGGATTACCATCCACCATCCTTCTACGTTCGATATAAACAAGCACATCCTTCTTCCTTCTCTGAAGGCTAACGTCAATTGCTTTTCCGTCCTTTGACTCCCAAAAGTCTATAGCGATCATTTCTTTAGTATAAGCAAATAGGACGCCCTCGTTAAGGTCAAGTCAGTCTTCATCGGAGGAGGAAGTGAGATTGTAGACATGACCGTACACTTCATCTTCGGGTTTTGTCGAGGAGACTATGTTCGCGTAGCCACGGTCTGTGCCTTGCTATTAGCCTGGCGGAGGTCTATTGCGAGCTTGATGTATAAATAGAGCACCATTGATGATACAGCGATATTGGGCCAGATGACCTGAGAAGATCAGTCGACTATTGAACCTGTTGTAGCTCCAGCAAGACTCACCGACTCCCACGTATGTACATTTTGGACATCTAAGCATCATTTGCTCTCTCCATGAGTTGCTTCCACACGCAAAGTATAGTCTTGGCCGAGCTCGAGATTGGAGGGCGGTCATGTTGCCTCAGCGAACAAGAGGTAGAGTCATTGAGCGAAGGTGTTTTTCAATGTCGATACTATTACTATCTATTAGAATTCCTTTCATGCAGGACGTTGTGGAGCAGGACCCCGAGGAGACATGGCTCTGTGGGAACGATAAAGCAAACACAGAGACATCGGGACTAGTTCCAGACTGGGTGGTTCTTTGGAATACAGGACGTCCTTTTTTCTTCTGTTTCTTCCGAAGATTCGCAGAGGCACCTTCCATCACCCGGGATGAATGCGGGACTGAATCAGGTCAAGCGCTAGGGCCGTAAAGAGCTATTCGAAAAAAGACATGACCAGAACACCCAAATTTCACACTCTCTCCATTCACGGTCTACGGATGGCTTTTACCTACAAAGCGGCCACCTGTAATGCTGAACATGGCGCATGTAAAGTCCAACTGTTGTCAGCGTGGTGATGGAGCAGCCTTCCACTTCGAGCAATGTCACAGGTACCTTTCTACCTTGCCGTTAAAGCGTCCAAAGATTACCTCTCCCCGCAACGAAGCTGTGAAGCTGACTTCTGTTATGATCTAGTGGAATACGCGGATCCATCTGGTACATATCCCTCCCTAAGCCCTGAGCTTCGCCGTCGACTACCTCTGCGTCATCTCCACTGGAAATCATCATCACGCCCCGTTCGAACTATCGACTCTCTCCACGTTACGCTCATTGCGGACGAAGGACCGCTCGATGCCAACGACAACCGGCCAGCACCCAAGGGCGAGAGCCCGCGGAAAGAGAGAAGGCATCAGATCCCTGGCTTACGACAAACGCCATATCTGAAAATTTATTTCCTGCAATGCATTGACGTTGATAATTACAAGGTGAATTCAAGAAAGTTGCTGCGAGATTGGGTCAAAGATCACACTCCACCATCTCAAAGCAGTACCTCGCTCACCAAACAAGAGAATCATGATGCTTTCGAATGGCTCATTGTTCACGTGCTTCCAGCATCTGCGGACGAAGATACATCCAGACCCTCCAGTGTTGCCAGAACCGAGTCAGAGAAAAGGTCAAGCTCTTCAAGATGGCCTTCGCGCAGCTCCTCTAGCGTCATTGAAAAGATACGTGTGGATTTCAATGGAACGTCTAAGAACGCCGTGGATCGTGTTGCTCAAGTCCAGGTAGCAGACTATCCGGGAGAGGACTCAGGGGGGGGCCAGCTACGATCTCAAGACGACAAGAATGGCTGGGGAGATTTTGTCGCAAAAATGAAATCACTGATACTAGCGTCTTTTGACCTGAGAGTGAACCAATATGAGGAAGATATTAGGGAGAAAGAGCTGCAAAGGAACCTTCCTGGTTGGAACTACAATACGTTCTTCGTTCTGAAAGAGGGTCTCGCTAGGGGCTTCGAAAATGTCGGGTTGACGGAGGACGCTTTAACTGGCTATCACGAGCTTGCTGCTGGTCTGAATGCGATCGTGGATGTTCAAAGTGGTAAGGACACTACTGAACAGCAGGCAGCCCTCTTCAGCGACTATACAGAGGATCTGGTTGAGTCATTCAAGCAGATGAAACGATGCAGCAAAAGCACTCAAACATCGTGGCACGAGAAGCCGCAGGTTGTTGATCTAGGTGCCTGCATTTTAAATACAGATCGGAAACCCTTCCGAGATCTGATCCTTGCGAATAAAATCTCCTCTTTTGACTTCCAATGTTACGTCTTCGCCCGTCAAGTGTCCCTTCTACTGCGTCTAGCAGACGTGGCTGTTCAAAGTTATCCCCCAACGAATGGTGCGATCGTTGGAGGTGGCAGCGACGCGCATTTTGATGTCGGCACCCGATTCTTGAAGCCCAGTGGCGAAGATCGAGAAGACCTTACCATACTCGCCGAAGTGGCTCAGAGAGCTTCCAATTTCATCAACTCCGTTGCTACAACTATTCGAAATGACATCAGGTCTGGGATACACCCATCAGACGACGACCAGGATGAAAATGGTGGCTTCTCATATATCGTGCACGAAGAGATTGTTGAAAATCTGGTAGCATCGTGGGTTATCTCTGCAAGCAGATGCATCCTGGAAGCAACATCGGCAAATTCACTGTCTGCTCAGCTTGATCCTCTTTTACGTCAGCTGAAGTCTTCCATTAAATCAAGCATGGGGGACAACGAAAGGGGGGTGGGACCTATCATTGACACCGTCTATCGTAAGGGTCTACCTGACAGAACAAGCTCACTGAAAGCTCACGCTTCCGTGTTGCCACACCCGCCTATTCAGGAGAACTTTCCCTCGGTGACCTTATTGGATGCCGTAAGACTACTACCGCCTGCTACCTTCCATCCAGGTGCTCAAGAACTAGCCTCGCGGCGAGGAGATTTACTTGCTCTGGCCAGACGAGCTCTTAGTGGTCTTGGGCTTCAACATGTTAATCGTCAAGGAGGTCTGGCTGATTTAGGCATGGTATCTGGGGCTGAAGAGGAAGAGATGCACGATGTGAAGCTGGAAGACACCAGAGAGCAAGAAGAAAAGCCGCTCGAGAGCTTACCAGTCACTGCACGAGCTCCAACCACCGCTGGGTTATGCAACAGAAAGTTATTCTCGGCTTTGCAGTCGAAAAATGACTTCTACCAGGCGTTTGAGGTATGTTAAGCTCGAAAGTTGGGTAGTTAGCGAGGCGTTGATGTACCTTCTTCCAGGAATCGACTGTATCAACGCTAGCCAACTATGTCATCGGTGGAAGAACTAAAGCTGCTGAAGGAATGACCGTGGACCTCGCAGTTACACGATTGTAAGAGTCTTTTGGCTAGACGCTCTGCAACACATCTAACTGCTAGCAGCCTGCTCGAAGACTACGAGGTGGCGGCATCTTATTTTCATCAACTGACCCCGTTCTACGCGAAAGATGACTGGTCGGACTTGGAATTGCTCATGCTTGACTTGTACGCCCAGTGTCTTCATCATATGGAGCGAAATGAGGATTACGTCCGCATTGGATTGAAGGTATTGGCCAAGACGATTCAAAGCAAGGCCGCTATCAAACAGCAACCACAAGAAACATTGACGAAGCTTGCAAATATTCACCAGCCTCGAAAGTGTGCGATGGGCAGTTTAAGTGGTATCTTAAGCGCCTCGAAATCACTGAAAGAACTGGTATCACTACCGATGGATACTTACTTCGACCCTATCGACATGGGAATGTATGTTCGTCATTCGCCTGACGACGATGGCTTTCAATTTCCACTTGTGTTAAGGAGTCTTTTACCAGAAAGCTTCCTGGCCGAGTCAGTGCGAGTGCAAATTCTCAGCGTAGAAGAGGATCAGCGCTCTGAGCTTTGGCTCCATGCCAACGGCCAAAATATCGAACCCGGCACGTCTAGTATATGGCTTGGTTCAAATGTGAGTTGGTTCTGTTCAACTCCCTATGCTACGGTCGCTCACAACGCATACAGACGATGTTCCCAGCCTGGTATGTCTTGAATCAGGTCACGATTCTTTCTGGAAATATCCTCTTTTCTCACAGTCTTTCTCCGCCATCCGACGGCCTCCCCTTCGCGAGTTCCAGATACTCGACAATATCTGGACTCACCAATCGACGACGTTTGCTACTCTGGCCCCAGTTCAGAAGCCTTGAAGCTCGCCTGTCTCATTCAGAACACATCCATCTCGAGCGAACAAAGTCCATCGCCGTGAAAATATCCAGCGGCTGGAACGAAATAATTCAAGGTAGGCTATCATTACGAGCTGCCTCTGCAGGGCTTCGACTTCACACCGCCCGGGCGGAAATCTGGAACGGCAAAGTCGCTATTACAGACAAGTCACAACCCGGCAGTATCTTCTTCGGTCAATTTCATTCGAATATCACTGCCGACGTGAACATTCCCTACAGCCTTGAGAGTGATCTCAAAGAGATTGTGGTGCGTGCTGAGGTCACTTACGCTACTGAACGCGGGGAATTCGTTTACGCTTGCGGTTCGAAAATCTCTACTGTTCTTCCAATAACAATCAATGTTCGAGATACTTTCAAGAAGAGTGCCCTTTTCTCCACATTCACTGTGGGCACTGCAAATTCGATCCCTGTCAAAATATTGAAATGCACCGTCGAGGGGAACGAAGATTTTAGTGCAACCTCGCAAATCCTAGACAGCGGCGAGCATGATGTTTTCGTTCGCCAGCCACTTTCCTTGATCTCAAGAATATATCGTACCTTGCGGGGGAAGCGTGACTTGGATGCAAACGAAACTGCACAGAGAAAATTGTTTCTACACGTCGAGTATCGATGTCTGGATCAAGAGATCCTCACAGTAGCTGAAATTATTTGTCTAAAGGCCCTCGCAGCTACGCCTATGCAAAAGCTTTCGCGCTTGTTGACGCCTGCATTGCTTGAGACATTACATTCGAGGTTTTCGACTCAACAGCTCGAGATGGCTGGCCTTCTCCGTGAGATCGACGTAGGCACGTTTGATGATTACGGCTGGGACTCTTCGATACTTGCTGGCCTTCCACCGGATCTTGGAGAGGAGCTCGCTAGATGGTTGAGAAATTGGCACGACGTTCGTGTCTCTTACATGCTTATGTTCAACGTTACTGACATTGTCTCAGGATCATCCCACGATCTCGTTTAGGGATATTGATCGAACGTTGCGGAGGCAACATCTTACGGTTCCATTCGATGTACCTCATGTACAGATTTTGCATACAGTACAAATGCGTCCCATGCATAATCGTGCAGCGCCATGTTTGCAGCCGGACTTTCTCGCCCTCGGATCTGCCTTGCCATTGGAGGTCGTCATACGTCACACACGCAAGTGGTGGGATGGTGATGCGAGGTCAAGAAATGATGGCAAACCCTTGGACTTCAAGTATGAAGTGCATGCTCTTCCCGATGATTGGACTATTGGGGGACAGAGGAAGGGCCATTTTAGCGCAAAGGTAAGCTATTCAGCTGCTTTATAACCCCTCGTCGCTCACAATTATAATAGGCAGATGAGAATTTAAACTTTGCAATTATCCTCTTGCCACAACGTACAGGTCACTTGATGTTTCCTTCCATTGACATACATCTTTCTCATCCACCCCATGTTTCACACCGGCCTGACGATCGAGAAGATTCGGCAGAATCATGGATTTCCTGTGAGACGGATTACCAACACCAGTCCGAAACAATCCTGGTTGTCTCTGGTCTGAGTAGCACGACTGTCAGCATCGATCCTAGTAGCATGGTAGGTGGGACGTGGCTTGTCGGGTCGAAGAGCAGATGATTTCGCGACCATGTTTTCCCCGCAAAACCTCAACTATGTAATGGACCTCGCTCGTCGGTTAAAGTAGCTCACTTGTGGGGAAGGGCTGTGGATTTGAAGCCTGAACCTGTGCGGTTGCTCTAATTTAGTCAAGACCTAGGGTTGCCGTATTGCTTACGTTGCCCACGAGCACACGCCCAGGGTCTGATCTCGCTCCAATCGACGCGGGAACTCCTTCTGACTCCATTGCTTCGCCACTGATAGCCTTGGAGATGAAGAATGGGCACGGTCAATCGACTGTCAAAGAAACAATGGGTAATTGATGGTGACTGATCGTGCGGGGCAGTCTCTGTTCAGTGGTAGGCACATTGGGTCCAAAGAGCACGTGCTTCTACTCAAGAGGGTCAATCCCAGCAACACTCCAAGCAGTACGCCCGGGGTTGATGAAAGATAAGGTAGAGGCTTGAGTGTTGGAGCAAAAGGTAGCATTGGACTGGCAGAAGGAGGCATGGATAAGACAAAGTCATGTATGCAGTAACGATACCACGCTGTCCCCACTCGGGATAGGTACAGAGTAGATTGAGTAATGTCTTTGAAGAAGTGGGCCTCCCGCTACCACGTTGACTCCTCGTTCATTTCTGCATTGCTCGCGGATGACTTCTCAGGTATATCATCACATAAAAGGGAGGAAAGGGCGTTTATCGAATAGAATTGAAGGGTGGGTCGGTCTCTCTCCATTACACACAATCCAGTAGGATGTCATGTTGAAAAGGATGGGATGGAAGGCTTGCGATTCTTTCTCGTACTTCATCCTGTTGCTTGTGCCAGGATTTGCTACCGAGATCTCAGGCCAGAACGATCTGAGACCGCCGACCGGCCCATTCCCTTACTTTACCTACTTTAGTTTCAAACGAGTGAGCCCCTCGTTTTAAGCGTAAACTAAGTTTCGATTAGTGTAAGACCCTGCATGTTAGCTTCTCCCAACAGTTTTATTAGCGCTGCATCTGCAACTGCCCATCCTTGTAAGATGATGCAAATTGTTGCATCGACCCAGGTACAATCTTTCTTGATGTTTTTTTTGTTTTGATCGAGAAGGCATACGAATAGAATATGCCCATTGGCTCTTGAATTTGTTTCCATTATCCAATTATCCAGTGATTAATGATTCAATGATTCAATGATGCAATTGCATGTACAGTGAGTAATGAGTAGCGTTCAACAATCGCCAGTGGCGCTGGGTAAGATGATCTAAAGTACCCCACGTAAAAATCATGGGTATGGTTCCTTGAATTCTTGTGGAATGGTGGACTATCATAGCCCAAATCAACATGCTATTCGTATATACAGTAGAGAAGGATAGTCGTAGCCATTGAGAAGTCAAGAATGAAGCACGCTTTTAGTGAAATTCATCATCATAGTCATCACCCTCATGTCCTTTTGTCCTTTTGTCCTTTTCCTAAGGTACCTGAATGCTACTAGCGTCTGGGATTCATTTTTTCGTTACTTACCCTCTATTAAATAAGAGTATTGAGCACATATCATTCCTCCCTTGAACACACACTTCACACTTCACACTTCAATCCTCACCTACTCTGCCTATGCTGTCAGACTTGCAACATATCTGTCAAGCTGACTTAATACTTTAACATCTAAAAATACCAACTGTCATCTATACGACCACACCGATTCACACAACCACACTTTCTCTCCACCTCTCAAACCACCCTTTTCCCCCAGCCCGCGTCGAAGATATTACCGCACACATCGCAGAACCTTCTCAATCATAATCCTTTTATTTTCACAACAATTAGTCAACTCTAACACACATTCAACAAGGCATATTCTCCAACATGTCAACCGTAGCATTCTCACGTAAGAGTGTTTTGCAGACTCCAGTCGTAGAGTCTCTACCCTCATCCTCCTCAAATTCCATCTCAGCGACTCCCGACCGCACACCCTCTCAATCTCACTCCTCAACCTCTCTTTCCTCACTTGCTTCAGACAGTGAGGTCGACGTCCAAAAATCGGCGGGAAATTTGGTCAATAACAAACAGTCAAGCGACTTGGTTGATACGAAACTGTCAGGTCAATCAGTCACTTCGGAAGCGCAATATGGCAGATTGGTTGACACCTATGGCAATGAATTCCAAGTTCCGGAGTTCACCATCAACGATGTTCGTGCTGCTATTCCCAAGCATTGCTTTGAGCGCTCGGCGGCCCGGGGCTTGATGTACGTTGCCAGGGATATTTTCTCCCTTGCTACCACCTTCGCTCTCTTCTATCTATTGTGGACTCCGGCAAACGTTCCTTCGGATAGCGTCCGTGCAGCTGGATGGGCACTTTATACTTTCATTCAGGGATGCTTTGGTACCGGTTTGTGGGTCATGGCCCATGAATGTGGCCACCAGTCTTTCTCTCCCTCCAAGACACTGAACGACACTGTCGGCTTCATTTGTCACTCGGCACTCCTGGTCCCCTATTTCTCTTGGAAGATCTCTCATGGCAAGCACCACAAGGCGACCGGACACCTGGAACGTGACATGGTTTTTGTCCCTAAGACTCGCGAGCAGTATGCGTCAAGGATTGGAAGGGCTGCCCATGAATTAGCTGAGCTTGCCGAGGAGACTCCCATCGTCACTGCGGGCTCTCTCGTTGGTCAGCAGCTTGCGGGATGGTTCTTGTACGTCTCCATTAACAGGACTGGTCACAACAGTCATACCCGTCAGAAAGAAGGTCGTGGTCAGGGCAAGAAGAATGGCTGGGGTGGTAATGTCAACCATTTTGATCCCTCAAGCCCTTTGTATGAGGCCAAGGACAGCAAGTTGATTCTTGCGAGCGATTTGGGGCTGGCTGCGGCAGCCGGAATTCTTATCTTGATTGGGAAGAACTTTGGCTGGGCGAACTTGGCTGTGTGGTATTTCCTTCCATATCTGTGGGTCAACCACTGGCTGGGTAAGCTGTTCTTCCTCCTCAACCTGAACATCGCTAACACGGTCCGTAGTTGCAATCACCTATCTTCAGCATACCGATCCCTCCCTCCCTCATTATGAGGACGCTGCTTGGAACTTCGCTCGCGGCGCTGTTGCAACCGTCGACCGTGAATTCGGCTTCATTGGTCGGACCCTAATGCACGGCATTGTCGAGACGCACGTCCTTCACCACTTTGTCTCCACCATCCCTTTCTATAACGCCGACGAGGCCTCCGAAGCCATCAAGCCCATCCTGGGTCGTCACTACCGCTCCAATGTTGAAGGCGGTCCCTGGGGTTTTGTTAAGGCTATGTGGACGAGTGCTCGAACTTGCCAGTGGGTCGAGCCCTCCGAGGGCGCTGAGGGACTCGGCAAAAGCATCCTTTTCTTCCGCAACCGCAATGGTAATGGTCTCCCACCTGCGAAAATGACTCCGCTCGAATCCTGAAGGAGGGGTAACCGCGCATTACCCCTTATGAGTGATGAGTTCACGTAGCGACATCAACGAGCAATATTTCTACATCGACAACAGTTCGTACATAGATAGTCATCTTCCTTGGCGTCCGCTTTCGACTTTCGGAATACCTATTACGCAACTCCTTCTTCTCATGCATACCTACCGAGCACCGATGACGAGTTTCCCACTCGGCATCACGGTTGCCCTATGCCATGCCATTTCCTAAGTACCACCTCGAATACCCGACTGTTCAGGATATTCTACCATTCTCCGGCTTCGATATTCTTGGTGAAAGTTGCACATCAGCATGACAGAAAAGCACTTTGTTCCCTTCTCCATGAGCGAATTGGCGTTTACAACCGATGCACATTTGTGGCCCTATCGTGGGCATTGCCGTGATAGACGCATGTCGAAGCATTCCCTGCATCAGCGTTCCATAGACCGTTAGATATCCCCTATAGACAGCATTCAATCAACTCTGTTTGTCATTACGCAATGTGAAAGAGTGAAGGAAAGCAGGAAAGGGCGAGGGTATGTGGTTGGAGGATAACTTCTTCCAGATCCTTCCCACGCCGTGGACTGCGGCTGGTGACGGATAGGAAAATGTGGGGTGCAGGACGCTTGTCGTCTGTGCCATTTCTCATGCAACTGTTTTCTTCCGCACAGATGGAATGCATCTTCACGCCCCTCTTCCTAGATTCGTTTCTGATACGTAAATACCACTCAGCTGAGTCATCGACTACCATGTCACCGCCATGTCTGTGCAGAAGCAGGTTTCATGACAAGACATCCACTGCCCTGCATTCGCTTCATCCCGTTGGTCTGATATGCTCGAGGATGTTGACCCATCCTATCTTCTATTGCTCCTGCAAGATCACCGAGATGCGTGATGTCATCTTCCACTTTGTACCAAGTCAATAAACTATCAATGGAAGGTCTGATTCTCGACTCTGGTTGAACAAATTCATTTTTATGTCAACGAATCTATGTGACAGGACAGGGCCCTTATAGCATCCACGGCGAATCCTCCACCAACGTCCCAAGCATGTCATTCCGACATGGAAGCAGCGCCTCGCACAGGTGATATCCAAAGCAAGCCCGTTGCATCCCGCTCACAAATTCAAAGAAATAGCAAAGTCATGACAATCGTGCCGCCCATGAGTGATAATACGAACATCCTTGTGAAGGGGAAGTAACGATGTTGATACCGGCTATGGACAAGATGCCAGGTCGTAAAGGCAGGAGACGAAAACAAGACGTGCTTTTATACCGCTGCTGATCGGTGTAGTGAATGATCGAGGTGCCGCCCAGTGAAAGCCAGAAAGTAGATCGTAGGGACCGCTCGCTACGAGTGATCGAATGAAGGCGTGGTTACGAAAGTCTAGGCGCAGCAAATGAGGTATATCCAGCGAAGACGCGAATATAGGTGATCTGTCTGCACCAGCATGTGTGCCTGAAAAAATTAAGAGGTAGAGAGGCGAACGACCCAACATTATTGACCAGCAAGACTTGGGCTCCAAGGCGAACGTTGTGTCCCGTAGAAACATGGCTTCAGTTCAGCGAGGCGAAAGCCAAGTTTAGCGATAATGACGACGCCTGTCACCAAAGGTTAATATACGCATTCAACGGGTTCGGGGAGTACACTACTAACCCAGATGGATCGATTGGGCTTGGGCACTTCTTCGTTTGATGCGAACCATCCGCGCGTTTGTAGACCAGCAGATTTCGAGACCTCATCATGGCTATTTCACTGTATATATCCTCTAGTTCGCCAGTGTCTGTCTCAATTTGCTCGCGGTCTCGACCTTGGTCAGTACTACTAGGGCGCATGCCAGAGTGCAGTGGCTGATCCATATGGGTTTCGCTAAACACTTTGCCGTAGCCTCGTTTTCCCGAG